GAATGAGGTTTAAGAAAGCTTTAATTTTCACCTCTTTAAAGGTCAAGTCCCATAAGTTCAATAAAGCATTACAAAATGGATGCCAATCGAAAGAGGCATAAGAAAGCTTTGCTTCGAAAATATGTTTAAAGAGAGTTGCCATCTGTTAAAAATCAAGATTTTATGTTATTAGTAAGTGAAATTAAACATTACGAAATGTTTTAAATTCAACCCAGACATGCTTAAGAAGGCTTACCTGCAGTGAAAAGCGTTGCAAAAAACCATTTAGGAAGAAATATAAAAACAAAGAAATTAAACAAAAATATTTTTTTTTATTAAATTAAAAAATTACAATAAACAGCATAAATAAAAAAATAAATTTATAAAAAATAAAAATAAAATAAAAAATATAAATTTAAAAAATTTTTCCTGCGCCAGGGTTTGAACCTGGGACCTCAGGCTTACCACCCGAGTGCTCTTCTCTGTCGGCCATTGTGACTGCTGGAGCGTCGCGAGCCAAAAGGCACACTTATGCTTTTCACGGGGCATGAATTGGCAGACTATCTCATCAACTGGTATGATGCTACTAGTATTTATACTAGTAGATGCAGATGCATAGCCTGACAATTGACATCTCGTAGGACATCGCAATGTTAAAAATACCAGTCGCTAACATTGAAAAAGGATAGAACGTGAACTAGTTCGGCTGAAACGCAAACCGGTAGAATTCTAGTTCACAACTAGTAGCTTTCCCTGCAGGGTTTATTCCGATTTTTTTTAATATTTGGCACCTGTTTAAAAGTCTAACTAAATTTAAGCAGTTACTATAGTGAAATATTCTGATATGGATGTCAAAAAAAAAGCCTTTGATAGTCGATAGTTGCGAAATGGAATACCTTTCGTCTTTACTATTAATTAATACTAGTGCTCGCCCAGTGGTTGAAATTCAACCGATAAAATTAGGGATTGTTTATGTGAGTTGAATGAGCTGAAAAAACATTAGTTGGAATGGGTTAAGTGGAGGGGAGTTTAGCTTAGCTCTTAGCATACCACTAAACCATAAAATAAGATTAAATAACATAACATATGAAGCATAACACACCACAATATAACATCGCACAATCTTCAGTTGTATTTCCTTTTTATTCCTATCACTTTCTTCCTCTCTATCTAAATCTTATTTATTTTGGTTCACTTTATGCCGAATGATGTTGCCTTTGATGCCACATCAAGTGATATCATTTCATGTAGTGAAATTGGGTGTGGTGAGTTGCGGTGTGATAAAATTGGGTGTGGGAGTTACGATGTGGTGAATTTAGGTGTGGTGAGTTAAGGTGTGGTGAGAAAGTTGAGGTGTGGTGAATTAAGGTGTG